TCCCAAACTTCATCTGATATTCTATGGTTTTACGTTGAGTGGGAATATCTGGGTGTAGAACGGCTTCTCTGATTAGCTCTGAAGTGGTTCTTGTATCTTTGGGAATTAAAAATATTCATCAATTTAATCTCATACTAGTTAAACTAGTATTTTTCCTTGTGAGAATATTTTCACTGTAAGTTCATCTTCATCTTCTTCATTCTCACGTCTGGGTGTTCTCAGACTTCAAACTGGCTTTGAACTTCCACTCAATTTGAATTTCTCCTTTGTAATTGACACCCAATTTCAATTGGCTTGTAATTGGCACCCAATTTGAATTTCTGTCCCAATTTGAATTTCTCCATTGTAATTGGCTCCCAATTGACTTTGACTTTGTAATTGGCTCCCAATTGACTTTGACTTGCAATTGGCTCCCAAATTGCTCCTGGTGCTTTCAATTGCTTCCCAATTTGGGCTCCTGGTGCTTTCAATTGCTTCCCAATTTGGGCTCCTGGTGCTTTCAATTGCTTCCCAATTTGAATTGTTGACTTTGACTTCGAAATTGGCTCCCAGACTTTTCCTGGTATTGAATTTCATCTCAATTCAATTTGATCTCCATGTCTTCTTTGAATCGGTCCCCCCAACTTGAAATTGCATCCCATTCTACAACCTCAATTTTGATTGGCTCCTTTGGCTCCCATTTTCAATTCTACATTGGCTCCCATCTTGAATTAATTCCCATGTGAAACTTGCTCCCAATTTCAATTCTACATTGGCTCCCATCTTGAATTAATTCCCATATGAAACTTGCTCCCAATTTCAATTTCTCTTGGCTCCCAATTTCAATTCTACATTGGCTCCCAATTTCAATTCTACATTGGCTCCCATCTTGAATTAATTCCCATGTGAAACTTGCTCCCAATTTCAATTCTACATTGGCTCCCATCTTGAATTAATTCCCATTGATTTCAATTTCTCTGAAACTGGCTCCCAATTTCAATGCTCCCAATTCCTTTGAATTGGCTCCCAAGTGCAATTGCATCTCAATTGCCACCCAATTTCCACTTGTAATCTCAATTGCCACCCAATTTCCACTTTCCACTTGTAATCTCAATTGCCACCCAATTTCCACTTGTAATCGGCGCCCAACTCCATCAGATTAATTTAATTTGGCTTCTCAAATTTTACCTTGTAAAATTATTGATGGTGAGTTTTGAACTTGAGCCATTCGCATAATATATCAAGCATCATCCACTTCATCTGTACATCTTTTGATTAAATTTTCAATCACATTTGATGTACTCATTTCTTTTCATAGATGCTTGATCTCCAAGTCAATTTCATGCATTCTTCCAATATTAATTTTCTTCACGAAAATTCTTCTGGGATATCTTCTTTAAGTAGTAGCGACGTGAATATTGTATCATTCATCTTCTTCTTCAATTTGTCATTTTCTCCAGGCAAATTCTTGATTTTAGGCTTTATATCTTCTTCTTCTATTTTCATGCATCTTCCTCTGTTTTTCTCTTTTCCAATTTAAATAATTTCCCGATCATGGTCTAAGACTCTACTAGGCCTATAAATAAGATTGGGGGATCTACAAATACAAATTTGGCATATCAAAACCATTACACTTTATTCCTAACAATTTCCCCCCTTTTGATAATGCCAAAACATATACTCAGTCATTGGCTTTAAGTCTTTGAAAAATAATCTTTTTGCTCTATTTTATTTGACAAAGCCAAGATGAGTTTAACAAAGGTTTTCTAGACACAATCAAAAGAAACTTGTGAATTAAATTTTTAGACAAGCTCCTAAACGCATCTTGAATTATTTTTATTTTGATCATCATCAATTTTTAATTTTGTCGTGCGTTTGACATATTTCTTGTCTTTTAATTCACGAAAGTCTAATTACATTAAACAAATAGAATTAAAGACTCAAAATAGACCATGGGAAATTATTATTGATATATTTCGAATTTATAGAGAAAAACGCAACAGAGGTTCGAAAATAGAAAGTATCAGCTTAAGAGAATTTTCAGATTACCTTCTGGGTTTCTTCACACCAGAGTCTTTCTTCAAAATTTCCTTGACATGTTCTCTGAGTTTGAAGAAATCATCTTTGAACTTTGCATTCTGAAATTTCTTTGTAAGCTGTCCGGCCATGTAGTGTCCATAAGCTTCTTTGATATTGTTGCCCGGAAGAACTCCGTTTTCCCACCATAAGACACATTCTTCGAAGCTTCTTTCTTCTCCAAGATTCATGCCCATATTTTCGGTGAAATCTCTTAGTTCATACCACATCTCGGTTCTTTTCCTTTTGCCTTCTTCTTTATTCTTCTCCGAGATCCATTGGGCTTGATCGGCTGCAGGTCATTTCTTGATCATGCTTGGTAGATTTTCCTTAGTCCATATTGTTGTCTGAGTGGCGGTACCCTTACAGCATTCAAACCAGCCACGCTGTTCAGCAACCTTCGATGTACTCGTACCAAGACTAGGATTCGCGAACTGAGCAAAACCAATCTGAGATGGTCCTTGTGAGGATTGTCCGCGGCTTCGGCCTTTACCTTGAGTAGACATTACTGGCTGTTGTTGACTTCCAAGAATAAATTCTTGTTGTTGCAAAGCCAAGTGACTGAGAATTTCTTCCCCCTTTTGGCGTTATCAACCAAAAATGCAAGGGTCTTAAAATCTCGGTCTTGATTTGCCTTCACAGTTTCAACACTGTTGTGTGTTTCAATGGAAACGGTTGGCACGTTGTCCAACTTGTTTGTTGTAACTGCGAGTTCAGCTTCAAGTTTGTTGATTCGGCTTTCTTGATCTTGAATCGCTTTGATCTGTCTCAAGTGACGTTCGTTGTTAATCTTTTCAGCTGATTCACGTTCCTTCTTCATGAGCTGAATCACTTCAAGTAAGCCTTTTGTCAATTCTCCTTTCAAAATTCTTTCTGCTTTGTCAATCTGGGTCTTCAAAATATTTTGATGTTCCATTAATTCCTTCAGATTGACTCGTGTATCCGTGTGTTGTTGATCCATCTTTTGATTTTGTTCAACCAACTTTTCTCCAATTGTTTGACAAACAACATCACTGGATTCAACTACTTTGGCAAATAAGGATGAAAATATGTCATCATCTTGATCATTCATCTGCAAAAAGTTTTGAGGGGATCCGAATGGACTTTTATTCGGATCTGTGAGAACAACTGTATCAATAAGTTGCATCCCTTCTTCTTTAGGTGATTCGGCTTCTTGATTGAGATCACCAACTTGTTCTTCTAGGACTTCTGTTCTTGTGTAATTGTCTGCAAATAATTCTTCATTTTCTAGAAAAGGGTCCATGGTAGGCATGGTAGACTCGGTATGGTGTACCGGCAATACACTGGATAAATCCTTTGTGATTTGCAGTCTACTCTCAGTAGCAACTTCTACTGCAACTTCCACTGGTATATCTCTTCTTCTTTCTTCTGACACTTGTTCTCTTATTTCTTCTCGTACTGACACTTCTCCTCTTAATTCTTTTCTTCTCTTATCCCTTTTGTAGCCATAATATATAATTTTTTTAATTCCTTTTTATTTTATTTTTATTCATATATATATATATATATATATATATATATATATATATATATATATATATATATATATATATATATATTGTGTGTCTTTTTGGCTACGAAACTTGTTCTTTTCATATACCGTAGGGATTTTCATTTTGTAGGAGAGAGAGACAGAGAGAAAATAGAGAAAGACAAAACCAGTAGCAAAAACATCCATTTTTCATTATTTATCTCCTTCTTAGGGAGAGAGAAAGAGATAACATTTTTGGATCAGGTCACATCACATATTCAGGCTTCATCAGCAGAGAGACCAGTGCCGTGATTAGTCTCAAGATCAGCATGCGGTGGAGACGGAGAGCTTGATTTCAGAGTATAGACTAATCCGGGTTCCATTGAGAGTTGAGCAGATCGCTTGAAGCTGCGAGTTAGAGGACGAGAGGACAGTGGTGATGGCGTCGAGCGTCGTAGCTGCACTGCTGAGACTTTCGGACCTTTTTGAACTTGATCCTTGGTCGGTGGTTGTCCTTCCTCTTCTTCAGAGAATAGGATGAGAGGATCGCTAGGTGTGTCTCCAACTTCATGTCCTCCATTTGCAGCATGTCGAGCCCTCAGCATCGCTTGTCTTGCTTGCTCGGCCACTCTCCTGGAAGATCTTCTCTTTTCTTGATTCTTTGGAGTCATCGAAGCCTGCAAAAAAATAGATACAAACAAAAGAAATCTCCACACAGATTTATTTGCTTTAGGTCCTAATTTATAGGCCTAGGAAGGTGCTAGAATCGTGTGTCCTAATGATGAAGAGGTTGAAAGGTTTTCTCTGGATATAGCCGACGTTTGGTTTCAAAAGGTGTGATGAATGCTTTCATGACTCTTCATTGGTCGAGAAAGCGGTGGATGTGATGGGTAGCGGTTTCTAGGAGATTCACTACAAGAAAAATCACGAATCGCGACGGACTATATTCCGTCGCCATTTAGCGACCGAATACATTCCGTTGCAAAATGGCGATGGAAAAGGCGACAGAATTAAATTCCGTCACGAATCTTGGCGCAAAGATAAATAAAGCCCGCGAAATATTGGCGGCAAAATATTCACGACCGAATTTACGACGGAACTAATCTTCGTCGCCCATTTTGCGACGGAAAAGGCAACCGATGCTCATTCCGTCGCAAAATAGCGACGGAAATTGCGACCGACTTATTTCCGTTGTTAAATGAATTAAGTTTTGACATATGGACTCAATATTGGGACGGAAATTGGGACTGTCTGGATTCCGTCGTAATATTTTTGTTAAATTTTATTTTTCTTATATAATAATATTATATATAATATATAATATTAATAATATTAAGAATTAAGAGTTTTCAATTAAAAGTTAAAACAAAAGCACTAAAGCAGTCTGCCAACCCTAGTCTCTCACTCTTTATGAGTCTCTCATTCAATTAAAATAACAGTGAACGGCCAACACGATTGTCGCCCTCCTCTTCGGTCTGCCCTCCTCTGCCCTCGCCATTCGCCGCCTCGCCGCCTCCTCGCCAGACGACCAGTGACCAAGACGACAGTCCGGCATCTCATTGTCTCTGTCTCTCCCTCGGTTGTCCGGCATCTCATCGTTTGACTATCTCGACCGCCGTCCGACATCTCTCCCTGCGTCGCCAGCGGTCTCTCGTCTGGAGTGCTCGCCGGCCGCCGCCTCGCCCTGGTCTCTCACCGCTGTCTACTTCTCCCTCCGTCATCTGAAGGTAAATTTGTAATTGTGTTTTACTATAAACTATTTAGTGTAAATTGACTATATGGATTGTAATTCTGTAAATTGTTTACTGTTTAGTGTAAATTGATTTTGTTTATTAATCTATGTATTTTGGATTTGACTTTGTTTAAGGATTCACTCATTCAAGGCTAACAATATGAATTTTTTGATAATATTAGTAATTTGTTTTTGAAAAATTAGTTTTTTTTTTAAATACGCATAAATAAAAAAACAGGGTGGGGATTCCCCAATTAAAAAAAAAATAGCAGTACAGTACATGCCTAATATTGAATCAGAATTATATTAGATAGGGCAGAGGAGTTCAGCCTATCAGATATGGTCGTTGTAGCTTTGAATTCTATATATTGAATTGAATTGAATTGCTTCACTCACCAATTTATTAGAGCTGACAGTACAGTACATGCCTAATACCAATTAGCTAGTTTTTTTTTTATTTTTTTTTTTTTTTATTTTTTTTTTATTTTTTTTTTATTTTGAATTCATATCCCCCTCACTTAGAAGTAATGTTGCATTTGATTTCTCTTTATTGATCTGCAGTAAGTGTTTGCGTGTATGCTGAAGTTAGTGTCTAAGATTTTTTGTTGTAGTAGTTGTTGTTATGAGATACTAAGCAAGCTGTGTAAAGAGATGCATTCTAATATTTAGGTTTGATTTGCCCTAATATTAGTAAAATGAACAGTTCTCTTTTGAACTCTGTCCATGCCATTGAAGTGATGGACAGAGTTGAGTCTCTCTCTCTCTTTTTCAAAATAAATATGTATATTGTGAAGTGTGCTTTCTCTATACTATCTCCGTTACTTTGAATATGGGGAGCTTTTCTGGATAGTTCTTATTGACAATTTTTTTCTGCATAAACTGAACTATCTTGATTTTGGGGATTAGGTGTGGGCACCTACTTTCAACACTCAAATTACACCAATGCCAATGTTTGGGTTCACTTTATCCCACACCTAACCTGGGATAAAATGAATTGGGGGAGGGCTGGGATAATTAGTTCAGCTTCATGCATACAGTCATACACTTCACTATTTCTTGCTTTTAGTGGTTATTTGTAATTGGAAATTAGCACATACCTCTGCACATGAAGAGACAGAAGTTGTAACCTTCGCACTTGTAATTGTAAATTAGCACATACTGCTTTTATGTTTGTCAGCATTTGGTAGTGTTGGGTTAGGGGGGGTTTAATGGCCTTATTATTAGGAGCAATCGTGGAAGTTAAATGTTGGCGTGTTAATATTTAGGTTTGATTTTTTTGTTTGATAGATAATTGCTGCTAGTATAAGGAAAGATGGAAAATGCAGAGGATGAAGGCCGTGTTGGAGGTGGACACCAAGAGAAACATGAAGATGAGGTATAATGCCATGCCACTTTTTCATTTAGTTCTAGGCATTTGAAACTGATTCCACCAACTGAGGTATAATTTTATTTCTTCTGACAGAACATGAAATGTTTAGTTTCAATTGTTTGCATCAATTCTTAGTCTAAGTAGGACAAATGAGCATATATTGAATCAAAAAAATAATAAATAAAGTAAATTACTTTAGTGAGAATTTTTGGAATTGATTTCATAAGTTGGTGTTTACTGTGAAATATAAGTACAGTGAAATGCAGATGTATGTTCTAAGATTTCACTTCAAGATCTATATAGTATGTCCCCCTTAGATGAGTGGTATGATGACTCAGTTTTCTTTCTATCCAAGCATGTTCACTTGTTCTTGCTTTTGTGTGAAGGTAATTTCAGCTTCTATGAGAGAACAGTTGCAAAGTATGCAGGAGCTACAACCATGTATTTTGTATCCAAGAAATTGAAGAAAAAATATAACATCACTGATGAGCGCGCAGCATTATATAAAGCGGCAGAAACATGGGTTGATGCTTTGAATGTCCGAGACTTTCTAGGTAACTTTATTCCTATTTCCTATATTCTTACATCGTCTGTTCTCATCAAATCTGTTTTTTAAATTACTTTATCCTCTCATGAGTATACTTGAATGCTATTATAATATGTCACTGTTCTTTTTGTATAATTTCATTTCACTTTTGTCTGCATATTTTTTTGTTGTACCAAGTATGTGGATGCCTGAGAACTTTCCTTTTAAAATTTTCAATCTTATTATACTTGCTCCCATGCATTCTTCTTCACAACTGCTTTGATTATATGACCAGTGTTGTGTTTATAAATCAGAGATTAAGAAGATGAGGAAGAATCCTTTGAAAAGCTCCAAGAGTTCTTTGAATGAGGCAAATTTCCATCATTCCATGAGAACAGGTAAGGTATCATTAATTTGAAGATAAAAACTTGTTTGATTCCTTGGATTCCCAAGAAGATATATAGATTGTTACATGATCTTCATTTCCATTCTGAGTTTCTGTTGCCCCCATCAAATTTTATCAGTTTGTAAAATGCTGTAATTTTCTTGATTCATGAAAAAAAAAACATTTTGAATGGGTTGTAGGGATGAGCAAGCAAAAGCAGCTAGCAGAAGACATTCTGAGGTATGGGGACATAAAAATTGCAGCAGAAGTGTTCACATTTCGCGAGCTTACCAACGCGACAGACAACTTCAATCCGGAGCTGTTTGTGGGGGAAGGAGGAAAGATCAAGGTGCAATTCAATCACTGAAGAAGGCATCACCTACAAGCCTTAGAATTTCTCTAAGATCGGTATGCTACAAGCACCCTCCAATACAGCAACACCCCTACTGATTGAAAGTCAGTCACTACCCACACTTGACAATCCAAGAATAAGGATGTTTGTTCTGAACTCTCAAGGATCTTAACATGTTTTGCAGTGTATTTGTTTAGACTTGAATTGACATTATTATGTGTTAAGTGTGGATTGATAATGTATTCTTATGTTGTTTAGAGTTGAATTGAGGATTATATTATGTATGAAATGTGGATTGGTAATGTATTATTATTTGAACTTAATTTAGTATTATGTTATTTTTTTTTTAAAAAATTAATAGTATTTTTTATGTTAATATTTTATAAATATTCATTACTATTTAAAATCATAATTTTATTTTAAAATAATTCAAAAACGCGATGAAATTAGCGACGGAAAAGATAATATGGCGACGGAATATTCGGTAAAGAAATAACGACGGATTTGTGACACAGACAGTTCCGTTGCGAAATGGGCGACGGAGTCGCGATGGAATACTTCCGTCGCCAAATATGGCGACGGAAGTATTCCGTCGCGAAGTCCGTCGCTAAAAGTTGCGACGGAATTATTCAGTCACGAAGTCCGTCGCTAAAAGTTGCGACGGAATTATTCCGTCGTCTATCAAAATACGAAAAGCTGATAGACTTATTCCGTCGCCATTCCGTCGCGAAACGCGTTTCGCGACGGAATATTGCCCATTCGTGACGGAAAAATTCCGTCGGGATTCGCGATTTTTCTTGTAGTGATTTAATGAGGGATTAGGGTGACAATTTGAGAGAGAAAGGATCGGTTGGGTGCTGATCTAGGAGAGGATTATGGGGGGAGGTTTAGGTTGGGTGGAGGTTTAGAAAGGGTAGGAGTTTATGGGTGGAGGTTTGATGTCCAATTAAACTCTAATTTTCCTCCTTTATCTCCTGATTTCCTTCTCAAATTCGTGTGCCACAAACATAATAACACTCAAACATCTCGTTAGTAGCAAAAATTACTCCACAAATAATTAATCACACATACCAATTATATTAAACTCATACACGGTAATTTCCAATAAAAAATTAAACACATTTTGGAAACTAACAAAATTAACACATATATTCCTAAATTAACATTTAGAAACATCTTTATAAAAAAAACATTAAATAGATTCCAAAATATTTTAGAAACTAAAAAAAATATTGACTTCTAGATTTCTAAAACATTTTATTGCGAATTATATCACATATACTGCATATACACGAAGACATATATATAATGCAATAAACACATTAAATCACATTTTGCACTTAACACATATATATTATTAAACAAAACACGGTAAATCATTTTTAGAGCAAATTGTTCATGCAAACAAGTTACTTAATTTACAGAAACATGAACACATACTCAAAAACTGATTAACACATTAAAACATGCAATTTTAAACAAAACATCAAATAAATCATGAATTGCACATTTTATCAAATTAATTTGCATGGCATATGATCTCACGTTAAATAACACATGCAAATGCACAAATAAGATCCTAACACATATTGCAATTTTATCACATAAAAATTTCGAATAAAAACATACATGCAAATACGTAAAACAATTTATTCATATAAAACAATTTATTTTGAGCACAACTATCAATTTAAATAGAGAGATTAAGTCCAGTGATACTTAGCTCATTTCGATCATTCCCAACTCGTGCCTTAAGGTAGAAAATCTCGTTTCGCATAAAGGCTTCGTGAGAATATTAGCAACTTGGTTTTCCGTAGGGATATATTCGATCTTCAGATTTTTCTTTTAAACGTGATCCCTTATAAAATGATGTCGAATGTCGATATGTTTGGTTCTTGAGTGAAGCACCGGATTGTGGGTGATAGCGATTGCACTAGTATTATCACAAAAAATACTAACGTCATCACAATTTACTCCGTAATCCTTCAATTGTTGCTTCATCCACAAAATTTGCGCACAACAACTTCCTGCAGCAATATATTCGGCCTCGGCGGTACTAGTTGCAATGGAATTTTGCTTTTTGCTGAACCAAGAAACAAGCCTTCCCCCCAAGAACTGGCATGTCCCGGAAGTGTTTTTTCTGTCTATTTTGCAACCTGCAAAATCCGCATTTGAAAAACCCGTTAGAGTAAAATCTGTACCTTTTGGATACCACAATCCAACATTGATTGTGCCTTTCAAATATTGTATGATCTTCTTTGTTGCGGTGAGGTGGCTTTCTTTTGGATTTGCTTGGAATCTTGCACACACGCCCACAGCATAAGAAATGTCCGGCCTGCTTGCAGTAAGATATAGAAGTGAACCAATCATTCCTCTATATTTTGTTTGAACCAATCATTCCTCTATATTTTGTTTGATCGACATCCTTTCCATCTTCATCTTTGTCTAGCCTTATTGATGTGCTCATTGGAATTTTGATCGATGATTTTCCATCAAGGCCAAACTTCTTTATCAAGTCGCGGGTGTACTTTGCTTGATTGATGTTCCTCTATATTTTGTTTGATCGACATCCTTTCCATCTTCATCTTTGTCTAGCCTTATTGATGTGCTGATTGGAATTTATCAAGCTTTCCATCTTTATCTTTGTCTAGCCTTATTGATGTGCTGATTGGAATTTTGATCGATGATTTTCCATCAAGGCCAAACTTCTTTATCAAGTCGCGGGTGTACTTTGCTTGATTGATGAATACTCCTTCTTTCAGTTGTCTAAGCTGATAGTTGGATTGCACGTTAATGGCTATATGCTCACACGACGCCTCACGTGTGCGGTGGGTTCCAAGCAACACGTGGACCGGTAAACCGTAGTCGCTTATGAGTGGCGCTGAGATTCGAACCCATGACCTTTGGTCTGGCTCTGACAAATTAAAGCATGTGCTCCATCTCAACTAAAAGCCTAAGCTGATAGTTGGATTGCACGTTAATGGCTATATGCTCACAGTAAGCCCAAGAAGTAATTCAATTCACCCATCATGCTCATTTCGAATTTATTCTGCATAAGCTTCGAAAATATCTCACACAAAGAATTGTTAGTGCTTCCAAAAATAATATCATCAACATATATTTGCACTAATAAAATATGATCACCATCTTGAATTCTAAATAGAGTTTTGTCAACAAGGCCTTTGGTGAATCCACAACTTATTAAGAACATTGACAAAGTATCATACCAAGCTCTAGGTGCTTGTTTCAACCCATACAATGCCTTTTTAAGTTTGTAGACTTTATCACCTTCGCCTTTTACCTCAAAACCTGGGGGTTGTTCGACATAAACTTCTTCTTCGAGTAGACCATTCAAGAATGCGCTTTTCACGTCCATTTGATAAACGGTGAAATCTTTGTGTGCGGCGTAGGCTAGGAAAATTCTGATTGCTTCAAGTCGAGCCACTGGTGCAAAAGTTTCATCAAAATCAATTCCTTCTTCTTGAGAGTATCCTTTTGCAACGAGCCTTGCTTTATTCCTAACAATCACGCCTTCTTCGTTTGCTTTGTTCCGGAAGACCCATTTGGTTCCTACAACATTGTGGTTCGCCGGTCTTGGAACAAGTTCCCAAACATCATTTCTTTTGAATTGATCGAGCTCCTCTTGCATAGCATTTATCCAATCCGGATCATTGAGAGCTTCGTCAATTTCTTTTGGTTCAATTTGAGATAGATAACACGTGAACAATGCTTCCATGGTAGATGATCTTGTTTTCATGCCTTCATGAATATTCTCAATAATTAATTCTGGAGGGTGATTTTTGAGCCATCTTAAATCTGGTTCAAATGGGTGCATGGTACTAGGTGGATCCATTTGTTGTGTACTAGGAGAGTTGGTTCGAATTTCCACATTTAATTCATTTTGTAATTGACCACCAACTTCACCAGTAACTTGATCACACATTGGAACCCATACTGCATCCTCATTCCCACGTGAGACATCACCACCAAAATTATTATTAAAAGAATTTCCAACTTCTTCTAGATGAGGTATGGGATTTTCTAGAGAATTAATTTCCAACTCATCCATTCCCTGCAAAACATCATCTTCACACGTATCATTAGTATCACAAAAATCAATATGACACTTGTTACCATTTTGTACAATTTCTTCGTCCAGTGCATCATTCTTGATCTGTGATTTTTCATCAAATACCACGTGTATGGATTCTTCAACCACCATTGATCTTTTATTCAAAACTATGAACGCCTTGCTGGTAGCTGAATATCCTAGAAAAATTCCTTCATCACTTACACTTATTGGATCAACCGGTCCAAATAAGTCCATATGTAGTAAGCTTAGCGGTCTTGACGTTGACTCGTGTGTCTTTGATTTGAATGATGATTTGATTTGCTTTCCGCGTTGGCATGCATCACACACTTGGTCCTTCTTGAAGATAATATCTGGCAAGCCTTCTACTAGATTCTTCTTTGCAAGCTGATTGATAGTCTTGAAGTTTAAGTGGTTGAGCTTTCTGTGCCATTCCCAATTAGCTTCATTTGAATTTCTGGCCATTAAGCACACTGAATCTTTGCTTGTGCTCCAGTCAACAATATACATATTCTTTCGCCATTTTCCAGATAAAATAATCTCATTTGTGAGCTCATTTTTGATTAGGCAATTATCTTTAGAAAATTCTACAAGATAGCCTTTATCACAAAATTGACTAGTGCTCAACAAATTAAATTTCAATCCTTCAACGAAAGAAACATCTTCAATCTTCAAACCATTTTTCTTGATCGTGCCAACTCCTTTTGTAATTCCATAATTTTGATTTCCTCCGAATATAACTTTTGGTCCATCGATTTCTTTGAAATTCACTAGATATGATTTATTTCTAGTCATGTGACGTGAGCAACCACTATCGATGTACCAAATATCCTGCAAAAAAGATTAATTAACTTTAGGTACCCATATTTGCTTGGGTCCTTTACTGTTAGTGATTTTTGGTAACCAAACCCACCTTGATCTTATTGAATTAAGATGAGGCGATTTGTAACCATTTGAGATACGATAATCATAACTCACTTTAGAAAATATTTTTGGGGCCGGGTTTTGAAAATTATTTTTATATTTTGGCACCTGGGAAGAGAATGGTTGCTTTGGTCTATAAAAAATATTACATCTATTGCACAACCAATCTTTTTGAGTGGGATGAAATTTCCCAACTTTATTTCTAGAAAAGCTTCCCTCTTTTCTATGAAATCTTTTTGCACTTGACTCTTTGGCATATCTTTGCTTGTAGAATTTTTGTTGTTTTGCCGTATCATAGAATTGTTTTGG